CTCTCCCATTTGTCAACTCTTCATTCTCACTGAAATTCCATTTGTTGCTGCCATACTTGTAAAATCCCTTCTCGTTACCCTCTGTATCCCTCACTAGTTTTAGACATAAACGCTCTAATGGTGCTTTGGTGGTCCTTCTTTTCTTTCTACTTTTATTTCTATTTCGTATATGTTATTTTGACTTCTGATTCATTAAGGAGCAACTCAGCCAAGTCATGTTGAAATAGCTGGTCTTCCTGTACGATAGGATGTACTTGTTCCTGAGCCCCAATCAGTTTTCCTTAAAATATTGTCTAGTTCTCTTGGCGATTTTTTCTCATCATGTCTCCAAGAATATTGCCTTGTCCTTCTGAAACCCAGAGCCATAGTTCTTCTGTTTGCATTCTGCATCCTGAGCTCCGTCACATCTCATGACTGTTGAAGCCAAATTTCCTATCTGTGGACAAATTCACCAGCAATTTCCCATTGTTTGTGAGCAGTGAGTCAATAGAGCATTGCCCCTGGTTGGCTGATGTGTTGTTTCTGTTGGAAAGTTATCGTCAACCCAGCCCAGAACCTCCTTGGATTACTTACACAACGTTATGTGCTGGAGAACTGCAATCTGTGCATGCACCACTACTGCAACATGGCAGCGATGAAGGCCAACGGTATCTGGGGCTGTATCAGTGCTAGTCTAGGCAGTAGAGCACAGGAAGTTATTACTCCACTTCTAATTGGCACTCATTAGACCATATCTGGAATACCTTTGTGTCACACTCACTATAGGAAGGAGGCTATCAAGGCTCTTTATTAAGATACTGAGAAAAAGAAGTCATAAATTGAAGCAAAAGAGGTTCTGGCTGGATATAGGGGAGAAAAAAAAATCAAACATGATGATGAAAATAATTAGACTGAAAGAGATTGTGCAGTCTTCCTCACTGGATGTTTTCAAGACCAGAGTTGCATAAAACCTTGAGTGAGCTGACCCTTTGACTGGAGGGCTGGACTAAAGACATCCTGAGTTGCCTTGAAGCCTGGATGGTGCCATGATTCTGTAGACACATAAAAGTTAATGCACATAGTACTTTTAGGCAATAACTTCAGATCTTTAATTCACAGGCTTTAACTTTCCTGAACATTTCCCAATAGCCAAGTGTTAAGCATTCTTCTGAAAATGCACTCTGACACTTTGCAGTAAGGAAGCTTTTATTGTTTTGCTTGCAGTAAGCTGACAGTACACAAAGACAACAGCAAGATGACAGGATAAGGATAATTTTCAAATCTATTGCTTAATTTGTCCTTCAGGAAAGTTATCTTGGCCTTCCTTGATAGGCCAATCAACTGGACATATAACTGTGAAGATGTGGTAATAATATCCGCTCTCTGTTAGAAAGTTAGAAGGCAATTCAGGAGAACTGAAAATTCTTATTTCAGATCATTTTTGTTGGTTAACAAGTAAAATCAATGTTGTAGCCAAGATAATAAAACATTTGATTAAAAGCCTGCATTTCAAAGATACTAAAATCCTGTAGTTTCCACTGATTTCATTGAGGCTGGATCTGCTGCCTGACTGAAAATAAAGCAGAAATTTCTCAATTGTTGCTTGTGCACATGAATACCTAACGCTAGGTATCTAACTTCTTTGAAAAGTACTTTACCTAAAGAGACATTTTTTTTTAATTATTTTTTTTTTGTGTGAAGTAGCCTGGTATTTCACACACAGCAGATAGGAAAGCAAATTAGATTGGAAAGTATTTAGAATATCTTAAATTTACATCATTTTTATTTATCATCTACCATATGAGTTCAGTTGTTGGGAAACTGACACACATGGAGATTTAGGCACATGGGCTATGTTTTGCGGCACTAGAGATTTTTGACCAGAGGCTGTGTATGTCAGCAAGAGGATCTTGATCAGAATACTGATCTTTTAACCTTCAGTCCATTGAACGATTTTTGTAAAAAGTACTGGGAATAATTCCTACTTGCTATTAAAATGTCTTTTCCATCTTATGAGTTGCTGTAAGGCATTTTTAAAAGATCTCATTTTACAAAAAAACCTTTATTTTTGAATTGTGGTCTTGGCCATGCAAATTTTGCTATTTTTTCTTACTGTGTAATATTTTGAATTGTTTTGAATACTGGGTGACACTAGATAGGTTTTAGGAAGCAAGTAAATGTCTTAGCCAGACATGAAGATGTGGAGGTTTTTTAATACGGGTCATTTTCCATGTGATCCACTGAAACATTTCCTTTCTATGCAATCCTGAAATTCTAAATTCTTAGAACTAACCTCTATTGGGGCACTACTGAAGTTAATGCAAAACTACTGAAGGCTTTTAGTCCTCTGAAACTATATATATGAAAAATTAATCTGTCTGTAGTTATAGGCAAAAATACTGTATCAGAAGCAGTGGAACTTGTCCCATTGTGAAAATTAATGTTTGTTTTACTTACATTTGCTATAAGTTTTAGCAGTTTTTGAGGTAATAGAAATTGTTTGCATTCTTATACCTTGTTTTGAGTGCCTCATTTTTGTTTTTTATTTGACACTGTTGTTATTAAATACTGCTTTCCTTTTATTTATTTTATTGATGCTCAAACAGAGGAAGAATATACTTGAATCCAACCAGTTCAGATTTTCATCTTTGTTCTGCCTAAGCAGGATGGTTGTTGCTGAAGAGGTTTCCCCATCCAGCACTGAAGAGTGCAACTGATTAGTCATCAAACCATTGAAAACTACCTGCCCTGAGTTCAGGTTCAGCCTTCAGGCAAAAGAGACAGAACCGTGAATTTCAGTAAAGCCACAATCAGATATACCAAGCTGAGGTCAGTCCTTCAGCTCAGCTCTTGTGTCAGGGAATTGTAAATGAGAGTGTAAAAGGCATCGCATGCTTTACATGGAACATAGCATTGAGTCTGCTGGCCGGCTAATGTTAAGACCTAGAATTTGGTTGGACTCGATGATCCCAAGGGTCTTTTTCAACCTGAATTGTTCTATGATTCTATGATTCTATGAATTTTGTCCATGACTTTTTACACGACTTTGTTGTCATCATCTATGGGAACCTAGTGTGTGAAATTATCACTGTTGCTGGTCATACCCAGAAAAGTGCTATATTTTAAACCGTTTCTTCAACTTTGAAGAGCCAGAAATGCTGGACAAGTCACGTTGCCCAATGCTGCAGCTTGTGACCAAGTGCCTGCCATGCAGCGGGAATTGAGTTCTGAGCTAAGTGCTAGTGAAACGTGTCGGGTCTCAGGAGTGCTCTGCGTGCAGCTGCCTGGCAGCCCACAGGGACCCGAGAAGAGAAGGAGCAACCCATCCTCCGTATTAAACGTACCTTTCTACTATTTGCAGTCCCAAGCCTGGATCATCTGTTTCTCACAGAAGAGGCAGAGAATGTGTGACATTGTAACAGTGATTGAAAAACTTGCTTGGAACCTCATAATTTCATATATTACTGTGTTTTCACCAACACCGTATCGGCTGTTTTAAGAGAGTATCTCACTTTGTTTTCTTGATATTGTCCAGCTTCGTTTAAAGATCTCTGAAAGCAGATGAAAGAGCTTCTGTCACATGCCACAGTCACTGGCTTTTAGTCACTGCTCTGGGATAAGGGAGACGTAGATTTAGGTTCAAGCATTGAATTAAGCTGAATAGGGAATTGAACTTGAAAAGAAATTGGTGCACAACTGCTCACAGATATCCCCTCTCCTTTGGCTCAGTTTTAGGTTTAGTCACGTTGGAGAAGTGCTAAGAATTTTCTCAGACTGTAGTAAAAAAAGGAAGGTGATCGCTTTGCCTGAGGGTCTGCTGTGAGTTTCGACATTAGCTACAGGGTCTCCACAGCCTGGCTCTGTCAGGACTGAGGCAGGTCTCTCTGTGCTGGTAGTCAGGGTTGGTTTTGTCACAATGAGATTAGGAGATGCTCAATCTGTGTTCACCTTACAAGTTATAGTGGAATAGCCATCTGATAATTTGAAATTTCTTTTGAATTTCCCTATATCTTCAAAATGTTGTTCATAAAAACAATAACTAAAAAGCAGTATATTTTTAAACAGCAGATCTGATCACTCATTAAGTCTTTCATGTTGAAATTTCACTTAGGAAGTCCTAATAAAAGCAGAACTAGGTAGTTTTTGGTAAAAGGTAGCAATGTAAATGATCTAAAATTCCATGACCAGGAAATCTGCAGACTAAATTTTCACAAAATATAATTGCAATCTGCATTTGTTTTTGAACTGCAGGTTGGGTGTGCAAGATGAAAATCAGTGAGTGAGAATACCTCATATTGTTAGCAGAGGGAGATGGTTAATTGCCATTATCAGTGGACACTTTGAGATTTCCGAACCTTTAGTTTTGTTAATGCTTTAACGTGAAAAGCTATCTAATTTGTGAAGTCGTAGTTTTAATGAGGCTCAGTAGACAGACAACATTTTGGCCTCATAAATCCTTCCCAAGCTCATGAGTAACCTTATTCTTTAAGGAGTCAGGCCAATACGAGAAAAATGGGAGAAGTGTGTTGGAACATTGTAAATTGCAAGGCCATGTAGAAACAAGTACAAAACATTAGGGAGGAAGAAATGCAAAGAATTGGGACTATTTTGCTTAGAGGAAAAAAACCCAACAAAACACCCCACAACAAAGTAACATCAACAGAACGTACACAGAGAAAGAAATAAAAATGTAGTTTTAAATAAATCTTTTCTTCAATGTAAAAATTTGTTTGAGTTGATCTCGTATGTTCCACTACACTAATGCCTTGGTGATGAGTTCACAAAACTAACATTTTTTTTTTTTTGAGAATATAGTATTTGATTATTGATTCATTTTATGTGGGATACTGAGAACTGTGCTTTTGCAATCACAGATGCACCAAGTCAGCATAGAGTGGGAAGTTAAGTGCTAGTTAGTGTACTGATGAAATCAAACTGGAGGGGAGTGGTCAAGGGGGATGAAAAGCTCATGTTGCCACCTGGTTAAAGCTGTGAATATCTCCTTGATGGTATTCACACAGGAATCAAGGAAAGTGTGTAGAGGGCATGGTGGAAATCTTTGACATGCTGCTGGCTACTGCTGCTCGGTTTCGGGTGATGAACCTTCAAGGGGAGGAATTTGTGTGCCTTAAGTCCATCATCCTGCTCAATTCTGGTAAGTGGCGTGTGCTTTGCTGTCCCTCGGGTAATCGTGATTGCTTCTGCACTCGGTTAAATGCTGCTTATTGTTGCTGATGATGTTTTCATTTTGAGACCGCAGCAATTGAAAGCGGGGTGGGATAGGGTGTCAGTGTAGGTGTGGGCAGAACCACCAGGCAGGGATGGAAGTTGCAAATCTGGTCAGTGGTGTAGATGGGACCTAGCCCATTAATGCAGCAATTAGTCGATACGCTGCGTATGGCTGATGTGAAGGGTGATCAGAGCGGTGTTTTGAACTAGATGCTGGCAGGTCTTAAAGCTCTGATTACAGAACACAGAAGTAGCTGAAGCCACACTTAGGGTGTGCAAAGGCAATGCTTAGTTGTAAATCTATTTTTTTTTTGTGATGGCAAAATAAAGGGAAATAATGGCAACTATGTTGCCGAGTTTATCACGATTTAGTTTATATTAAAATACAGACATGTAAAATTGATGTCATCACCTCCATTTCCTTTGCAGTCGATGAAATAAGTATTTTGAGGCTGTTAATCTTGTTCCAAAGAACACTTAAAAAACAAGTGACTAGATAACAAATCTAAGTACAGATATAAATATGTAAGGTTAGCAAAACTGAATTATGTGTGAGATTGAAATAAGTAAATTATGTTGAGGCACGTGACAGAAAATTTCTGTTGCACACCAGCAGAGCCTTTTCTGTTTGAAATGAAAAAAACCCTTCAGACTATTTTTTTAAATGCGGAAAGGAGGCCCACAGTATTGTCACAGAAACGATAGAGGTCTAAAATAATGATGTAGGCATCAAAGTCAAAACTGTAGGCTAAATTCTCTGCTGAGTTTTTACCTCATGACACCAGTGTTTCCCAGCCCTGAGGATGTACCCACTTGTTCTCCTGTTTTCTGGTTGGGTTTGAACTTGTGGATGGTATCAGCCTCTAGACAAAATACATGTGGAGGGCTCTACGTCCTCTTCATCTGATGGTCTAACAGATCACCTGCCAAAGTTGCATGAAATACAAATACCAGTCAGTTCCCAACGAAAGCTAACTCTAAACACAGCAGATTTTGCTTCATTGATCTGGCACTTCCTTTATGGAAACTTGAACCTGGTCTATGAAGAAAAAAAAAAAAAGTTCAAGTAAAATTATATATTTATACAATCAAATATAAAATATGTCATTTATGTTCTATGAGATCGTAATGTGTTCAGGTTTTGTTGTGATTGTCATCAACTACCAAAAAGTGACATATAATGTGGGCATGAAAAGTTGCTATTTTTATGTTGGATGCCAGGGTGTGACAATTGTAATTACAGTTTGACATTTTACTTCCTTTTTATCATCCTGATATTTATAATATATCCTAGAGTTAAATGTTCTTCCTGAAAAGTGATGTTCCTCCAGATTTTTAGCTAGTATGTTCAAATATAATTATTCTCTCAAATAAATGTAAATATGTAATTGATATTTAAAAGTATTGAATTAGAACTAGGAAAAAAATAGCATTAAAAGTTTGAATAAAACACATTAGATGTTCATATCTTGAATGTGAAGACTACAAGCCACGTTGTTGAGAGTTTTTGTGCCATTGCTGAATTTAGAAAACTAAATTTATTATCCAGAGTTCTGCCAGACTTCACCAGCTATCCTTCATAATCACATTTTAAATTAATTTTACATTCCTATAACCAACTAATTTTATAACTGTCTGAAGAGTTAACTACTGGTGGTGGGAACGTGGACACGAGTTTCTGACTGTCAGATCCTTCAGATGCCCAAATTAGGAGGTTAGACTGCATTGCAGAGATAACCAAGTAGCATAATTTGGACTACGTGTAGTAGCTGTGGAAGTATTGTTTGGCCTAGATACTCTAAAATACTTCTACTTAACGGGATATAGCCAGCCTTTAGGATAAATGTTGTTGGACACACACGAAACATTATGAGCTCTGAAGTGAACAGCTTACATCACGCTTGAGGAAAGGCTGCGAGCCGGATTTTTTCATCCTGGGAAAGGCTAAGGCAACTGCCATCCTCAGATGGCTGATGAACAGGTTCAGAAGAAGCCAGAGCCAGACTCTTCTCAGAGGTTCAAGAGGAAAGTACAGGCTGCAGGGGAGACAAACCATGTCAAGGGAGATCTTGATTAGATGAACAGAACAAAAAGTCTTCCCAGTGAGAGAGGTTAAGCATTGGGAAAGGTTTGCCAGAAAGATGGTTGGATCTCCGTCCTCAGAGATGCTCAAAACTCAGCTGGACAAAACTCTAGGCAGCTTGACTTAACCCTGAAATTACCACTATTAGAGCAGGAGGTTGAATTAGACAACCTCCAAGCCTCCCTTAACCTGATCTGATTTTTTTTTTTTAATATATGATTGCACATGATTGCACATACACAAATATTCTACTAAAGAAATGGCAGATGAACACACAGTGAATTTTTGGCCATTATGCTATCTGTATTATATATGCATATGATTAAACTTGTTGATATCAAAATAATTTGAAGAAATGGACTAATTAAACAAATTGGACTAATTGCGCTACATTGCATATTTAAATGCAGTCTGCCTTTGCATTCTGAAGCTGTGTGTGGATTTAATTCACTCGGTCTACACAAACATTTATTAAATCTTTGGACATCTGTTAGTCTTCATATGAGGTACTGCTGTTTACTGCTTTTGTTGGACATTAGTTTTCTTTTTTTTGCAACGTCTTTCAAGACTGATATCTCTACACTCCTTTTCCATTTGATCTTAGGCAAGATGCAAGCAAACTCTTTTCATTTCTCTTGTTGAGTGTGAAAAAGATAGAAGGCTTTGTTTATAAAGCAAAATATACATTTACACTACTTCCAAATTTTTCCTGAGATATCAAGGGGACAGCATGTCTGTAACAGCAAGGACGGCATTGTCTCTAGGTAAATTACAAACCAGAAGGTGCCCTTCTAAAGCTGCAGCAACAAATCTTTTGTCTAAAAAGCAGAATTTTATTTTCAATAAAGGGCTCAACAATAAAGGGCTGTTTTCTTAATACTGGAAAAAATAGAATCAGAAATGTGAAAGGGCAACATGATGCCTGATGTTTTACTTTTGAGTGTATCTGAAAATAGGAGTGGTGCTACGTGGCAAAGCAACAGGCTTTCATTTTGGAGGCAAAGACATAGGTCACGCCTGCCTTAGCAGCTGATTTATCTTGTCACTTAGCTAGTTAGTCCATGGAGATGGAAAGACTTAGCTCGTTTTATGCATCCTGTAGACCTCCTGACACATCACTCCATGTGACTGTTTGTTACTCTTTTCTCCTGATTTTTCCAGCTCCTGTTAAATTGTGCTTTTTATTTATTTCTGTATTGGGGGGGCTGAATGATTAGAGCTGAATTTGCTCATACAGCCTGGCTTTCTACAGATCCAGAGCAATGGGGCATGGAGGAATGGGAAGAAGAGTCTTGGGTAGTGTTTTGTCAGCCTGAGCTATAAATGTAAAGATGTTTTAAACTGGGGTTTATTGTGAAAGAAAAGATGTAGAGGGAGTTTTCCCCTACAGTAATATGTAAAAATATACCACTACATATAATAACACATACAGAATTATATCCCTACATGCTGACAGCTGTCACGGTAGCACTGCAGTACCCAAGGAAGACTGTTCTGTGCGTAGCTTTGCATTATGGGCATGCACCAAAACATTTAATTTGTTTGCAGGGTGGTACCATCTCTGTTCTCACTGCTATTATGTTTTATAATACCAATCTACAGATTGAGCTGGAAAACAACCTGGTAGCTATTCAATTTAGGCTTACATTCAGCTTCAGAGGTTGGAAAGACCTTTGAGACTTAAATTTCACTTTGCTAATACAATTTTCTGCACTCTTGTTCCAAAACTCTGCTTGTGTGTATATGTGTGTGATGGATAGCTGGCATTTCTTTTGGGGAAATTTCTGGTCATTGGCCTGGGGCAGGAGCAATCACCAGCGGGGGCAGAAAGGAAAACCAAACATCATTTTTTCTTGGCAGTTATTGACTGGCAATCGTCCTGAAGTCTCTACATTTTTGGAGGCGTGCTTTCTTTGATTTACAATTTTTAATAGCTTCTGGACTAGACCTAGGTGAGAAACAATTTCTCATAACAGATTTTTTTTTTTCTTTTGCTGGTTTCAAACCTATGAAAGTAAGGGGTACTGCTGCAAGGGCTGAAGCAAGCTGCTCTTGAGGCACTGTGTGTTTATGACACTAATGTTTCCTTCTAATTGTCTGAGATTTATCAGTAATACATTGTCAGGAGGCATATTTGAAGATTGTTCAGAGTCATTCAGCTGAAACAAAGCCCCAGGAGCTGTTTCTCTTTGGTGAATTCATTTCAGTAAAAATAATAATAGTCATAAAAGGCTTTGTGAGAAAAGAGACCATTGTATTATCTATCTTCATCAAATTCAAAGTAATTATGAAAATTAAGACCTCTGACAGTTTTCAGAAGTTGTGACGTGTTTGAGTAATCCTTTTGGGTTTTTAAAGCAGTCTCTCTCATTCTCTCTCTCGGAGACACTAAAACTGACATTCACAAACACAAATTTATATTTCTTTTTAGTACTGAAGTCCCAAAGTAATAAAACCTACTTGAAGGTTACAGTAGTTCTACGTATTGGGTCCTTGAAGTACCAAGATGATGTGAGGAGGTGAGGTATCCTAGGAAGATGGTAAAAAAAATAAATACATCTCAATTTCCCTGATTGCTCAGATGCCTAACAAAGTACTCTTCAAATCTGATGGTATCATCCCCAGGCTACAAGCAATGCAAACAAGCTAGAGTATTTATGTCTGTATGTGTGCATGTTGGCATGTGTGTCTTTTTTTTTCTTAGTATCACTAACTGCATTGCATATTGTGCAGTAAAATGAAAAGTAATTGCAGAAAACAATTTTCTCCAAGGACGAATCCAAATTTCTTCTTGGCTCTGTGAGCTGATGCAGAAAGGCTAAAGCACAGGATTTGTCAGGTACATTGTAGGCACAAGGCAATGAACATGCTGTGATCAAGCCAGTTTGGTTGTGTTACTGTACATACAGCTTTTGCTGCCTCAGGTCTGAATTGCAGTAACACGACCTGTTTAGAGTTGTCGGCTCAAACCAGATGATGAAAAAATGGGTGCCGAATGCAACAGCTGTGTTTTGGCAGCACAGCGATGTTGTGACCTGATTCACGTTGGCTGTGTGTTGCCATCCAAAACAAATTCAAGATAAAAACCTGCAAAATAGAATTTCCCATTTAGAAAGCTGGTGTGCTTTGGGGATTCAAGAATTACTGCTAGCAAGAGCTCTTGTGCCTGGGTTAGAGCGTTTTGCAAGAAATGTGGGGAGGCTGTTGGAGGGCGAGGTTAAAGGTGTTTCGATCTCCGGAAAAATTTCTTTGTGGTCCAGATCTTCAGGTTACTCACTTTCAGCAATGTAAGATAGTTAAAATTACGCATGCTTTGGACATGGCTTTTAAAGGAAGGTCGAGTCTGCAAGTGAAGAAGCGCACCTTTCAAGGCTCTTGCTTGGTTGGGAGGGTTTTGTTGAGGAGAACATGTGTGAACAAACTTCAATTTTGTTTACATGTTTTGTGGTAACATATTATTCAGTTTTGGATTAACTAGAAAAATCACCAAAACATTAAACACTAAACATCAGAGAAAACTGTAAAAAGAGCTGAAGGCCTGGGTTGGTCAGTAAGTACTGCAGAGCTCCCAAAGAGCAATAGCATCTCTTCAAGTTTTCAGAGCTGACTGAGAGAAGATTGCAGCCTGAGAGTAGGTCTAACCTCAGACTGCAGATATTGCCCACCACCTGGATGGACTTGGGCAGGGAAGAGGTATCATCTTCCTCCTCCTGCTTTGCCCACAGTGACAAAATCCAAGCTCCAGAGTCACTTAGACTGGTGGCCTGACTGTCAAGCAGGAGAATTCACACACAATCAGCTCCTGTGGTTTAACAGAGCTGGAGAGACCAGACACAGGCTGTACCTGGGACAAATCTGGCTCCATCAAAGTAATCTTTGTGCTTTGTTTGTTTTCCTTCTCCTTCCCACTCCAGGTGTGTACACTTTTCTTTCCAGCACCTTGAAATCTCTGGAAGAGAGAGACTATATTCACCGTGTTCTGGACAAAATCACAGACACTCTGATACACTTAATGGCTAAGTCGGGTCTTTCTCTGCAGCAGCAGCACAGACGGCTGGCTCAGCTCCTCCTCATCCTCTCTCACATCAGACACATGAGGTGAGCACAAGCACGCAGGCAGCCCTCCTGCAATGGTCCCATGCAAGGGAGGTTTCACAAATGCACACGCACACTTTTCCTTCACAGGTGGGAGTGCAAACCATGCGTTAAAAAAAAAAATCAGTTTTCCATAAAGATGTATGGAATGTGTGCATAACAGTGTGTTGGATTATGGTGTGAAAGGAGTAAATGTTTTTCCCATTTGTTTCTTTTAGTTTTCCTTTGCTTCTTGTTTTGATAGTGCTGTAAGCAGTATCTACTTTTATTATGTGTATTCTGTTTGCAAAGTGCCAAAAAGAACACTAGTGTAGCAGTAGCCTGGTTCTGCAAACTTCAGTCTCCTGTGAGATGAGATTTAATAAAACTATCCCTTCTATGTAGCCACTTCAAACAAGTGGCTTGATTGCAAATCACTTTAGAAAAGAGATTATGATCATTATGTGTATTTTATGGGTGAGGATAAATGCAAAGCATCTGAATCCCAATCTAGAGGACTGTGCCCTTTGCTAATTAGAGGTGAGGTGTCTGAGGTGCTCTATTAGTAGTCACAGCATTGTTTCTCCCAAATGTAGTTACCATTTAATGTAGCTGCTCAGTGGCTGGAGTGTTAACAGCGTGACAAGTCTATGCGAACATATAGTATAGATTTTATTTTTATGAAGGGACAAAACATGTTACACAGACTTTAATTTCCATTATTTTATTTCATAAAATTAAAATTAGAATTAACCCCACATCATGGCTACTAAAGCTGAAACATGCAGTTACGTAGATTTTTACCTCCTGGGCTGATATACAAGTCTTCAGGAAAAAGTCAAGGGGTGTGTGCGTGTGGCTTTTTTACTTGTGTCTTTTTTTGGAGTTTCTTTATCTTCATGTTTGTTGTCCTTTTTTTTTTCCTCCCCCTTCAAAGGAATTTGTTTAGTTAAAGAAATTCCAGATGCACAGTAAAGTTAATTATTTTTTCCACAGGTGAAGTTAATTTTTGTTTCCATAGTTTTGTGACTGGATAATATTACAAGTGAATATTTGCTAACAAATTGTCTGAGGTTATTTTCTGGGCAAATAAATAAATAAATTTTAGTTTTTATTATGGGAAAGCCAAGATTCATTGCATCCACTTAGTCACAGTGCCTAAATTAGGAGTTCATGTGTTCTAGTCTACCGTTTAGGCAAAGGAGAGCAAAAGAGCCTCCTGTAGAAGGCAACTTGATCAGTCTGAACTGTTCTTCAAAAGTCACTTCTGCTAACGGTAGCAGGAGCGTACAGCAACTGCATTGTTAAGTTAGTTCTTTTGTACAAGTTGGAATTTATACAAACCTATCAAATATTACTACCTGATACCTTATTTTTTCCAATAGCATACGTGGAAAGTAACTGTTGTTTCATTTACAACCCACAGCAACAAAGGCATGGAGCACCTGTACAATATGAAGTGTAAGAATGTAGTTCCACTCTACGATCTGTTGCTGGAGATGCTGGACGCTCACCGACTGCATGCCCCAGCAGCCAGGAGTGCTGCACCGATGGAAGAGGAGAACCAGAGCCAGCTGACAACTGCATCAGCTTCATCTCATTCCTTGCAGTCTTTTTATATAAAGAGCAAAGAAGAAGAGAATATGCAGAATACAATATAAACAAGAGCCAGCATACATAATGGTATGAGAAACCCAGCAGCGTACTACCTAGCTCATGCTTCATTTTGTCTATAGTGCCACCTGTGTAAACACTCCAATGACAACAGTCACCTGCATTTTCCATTTGAGTGTTTGTCAAGCCTAAATTGATTACTTATCCTAAATGTAAGACATTTCATTGCTATGGACAGCCAGTAAGGATTGTCAGGCTAACTTGATTTAAAACTTGTGGTATTTTTATCTAATTTTTCATGTAAATTGGGCAAGTCCTAATCTGAACTGAAAATTAATTTTACTATAAATCAATAGGACTTACCACACATGCGTATCAGTATCTTCGTGAGCCTCTGTTGATATTCACCCCAAATTCTGAGCTCACTTAATCCTTGCTTAAAACTTTGAAGCAGTTTGGTAGAGATTCTGGGTGAGTTTGTTTGGTTGTTTTTTTTTTGGCAGGGTAAGGGGAGTAAATGAAAAGTTGACTGGCATCTTAGTATGCCATAATGAAACCACACTGTTAGTGACTGCCTTGGTAGTTTAGGTAGGTTCCCATTGCCCTTCCCCCTACAGTAGAAGAGAACCCCTGTCTGAGAATGATACTGTTTTACCTTGCTGGCTTACATCAGCAGACAACTCCCTCTCCAGATCATACTGACCAAACTTTTAGGTCCTCTTACCATGTTCTTTACCATTGCGTGCATCCTGTCTTGTCTGATCCTGCAAAGCTAAACTGTTCTATTTCTTGGCAGTGTGCAAATCAAGAGCAACACGGCAAGCAGTAAAAACAGGTAATTGCTCTTAAATCAGACCAGATGATTACAAAAATCATCAGGTCATAAAGTCTTCACATGCATATGTGATCCAGTACTATTCTATACAAACCTCCCCCTGTTCTTTGCTTTGTTGTGCTAGAAGCCAAGGGGTGAGGATGCCAGAGCAGGACTGGCACAGCGGGGTGGGATAGTCCCATCCCACTCATGGCGTGGCCTAGACCTGAGAGAGAGCTGGTACCGCAGCCAGAGCAGCAGCCTTTGCCTTGCCTTGGTTTTTCTCAGCTGTTGTTGGGGCATGCTCAGAAATCCCTGTTAATCCCTGTTAATCACCTGTGACACCAGCACTGAGCCTCAGACATAGCAAAGACTCTAGGACTGCATGTCCTGGAGGATAAATCTGGCTTTCTCCATGCATGTGTGTAACTTTTTCATAAGGATGAGCCACATTCTTCAGACTGACTGTAAAAACTTAAAAGCTCTACTGACATGAAGACTTTAAGCAAGACACGACAGAAAGATACTGAAGAAATCTGTACTATGTGCTATCCAAAGTAGGAGTCAGTGCTGCTGTTTGACTGCCTCTATGCTAGAAAATGAAAAGTGTCAGGGAACGTTGCCGGGTAGTGGAATGCGATTATTACATATGCCGGGGATATTTTATTAGTCTAATGATAAACTTTGCCTGTGCTGTCTGCGCTTCTGGTTCACAGGTGCAATTCGAGAGTTAGCACGGACCAGGGACTATTCCAATAGCTGGTTGGAAGCGACCAACCTGCCAGTACAGAAGTTTCATAGCACGTGTGTTTGCTGCTCTACAGCAGCTGGCCACAGTGCTAGAGAGGTTCAGGGATGCTTCTTTTACTGCTATAGCTGAAACTTTTACATTATATTATATTGATTGGAACAGCGTGTAGTAGCTAAAATATAGGAAGTAGTGCAACTAATGCCGTACAGGAGTGCCTATGCGTAATCTCGCTCCCTGTTGCAGGAGCAGAGTCTCTGTGCAGTGAGATTGAGTTCCAGAGCAATTGTGAAGGCAGCAAGGAATAGGATGAGTTTGTGTTCCAAGTCAAGAATTCAATTCTTTAATGAATGTACATAATGAAGTTTATAACAGTTTCATGTACTTATCTGAGGATATGCGCAGTTTAAAATGTAAAAGCTAGATGCTACCTATGTTTGACAAGATGCCTCAAAAACTGTGCAAGCCTAAACATGTGAAGCGGTCACTGTAACTTAATAGGCCTTCTATTGATGCGTATTATAGTGTCATTTTTTTTCTGAATGTGCTAAAGGATTTGTCTTTTTGTGAACTCAGTAAAATCGTGTGTGTGTGCGTGTGTGCAAATTTGGTACCTAAGGGCTTCTGGAGGGCTCTTAAATGTCTTGAAAGAAAAATGCACATTTTGTTTTCTTTAGTAGCTGGTTTTCAAATGTGTTAGAAAAATCATAAATGCCCTGAAATGAGTGCAGGCTAAGATCTGAATGGAACACAGGAATCCCTGTAGTTACACTTATATGCTTACACCACCATCATTCACTTGTAGCTCAGTGTGCGTTAGAGCTGCTCTTTAAATACTGTACGTGTGCAACTTGATGTTCTCTAAGACACAACACAGAGATCCAGCTCATAAGCTGCAAGGTGAATTGGTTTAAGTGAATGCTTCCCTTCTGACCTGCCAGAACAGTTCATTAGATCAATTCAAGTGCAAATCTGGCCTAGAGGAAAAAAAAAAGTAGCTCATGGAGAGAATTCACCATGGAGGGTCAGTTTCTGATGGTACTTACATAGGGCAAGTACCATGACACTTTACAGATTTTCCTGGTGAAGATGTATAACCGTGATTTGAAGTGGCAGGCAGAAGGGTATCATCAAGTCTCTTGGAGTACAAGGAATAATCAGTCAGCTCACAATCTTAATTATTCTTTCCTAAGCTTAGCCCTTGCCAGGAAGTAATTCAGATTCAGCCAGTCCTCCCATGTTTGTGGTGACAACAGTGAAGGGCACCTAAGAGAAAAGAACAGTGATTTCCAGTAATACATTCATTTACCTTGGGGCAGTTTCAGGATCTGTGTCATTAATTTGTTCATGAGATTTTAACTGAAGCAGCACCTTAGTGAATATAGTAACCCTCTCATAGTTATATAGAAAAATAATTGTCTGCATATCAGACAGCTGAATGTAGCTATTCAATTGATTAAACAAAGTCTATGATACAAAAATGGCAACTTTTTCATATGTAATTCTGAATTACGCTCTCATGAATGCAAACAATTGTGCCTGACATTTGGTAATTGTTATTTCACAGGATGCTATTTTATATGTGTGTGTATATACATAAAAATATATACTTTATATTTGAAGCTGACAAGCCAGTGCTACCTGAATACCTGGTGCTGGATATTAAATAAAAATAGCATGTAAAAAAAAACAAAAAGAAAACTGTTCAAGGCAGCTAATTATGCTTTTACCAAAACATTCATAGTGATGTCTCTGGACAGCTAATCAAAGAATTATTTTATAAAGTTTATACATGGATTTTTTTTTTTTAAAAAAATAATTAAAAACCCAAAAAAACCCCTAGAAACATAGGCAATGTAATACCAGCAGAAGCCAAACAGAAATAAAACAGATGAACTTTCTTTACTTGAGAATATAGTTGTTACTGAATTGTTACAAAAAAGCTTGGGAGGCAGGAGAGAAACAGTGATGTGTAGCTCATACTCAGTGGTGTGTGAGTTTCTAACAATATGTGGAAACTACTCTGGTTTGTAGAGGTTCGAGCCATGTCTCGATGTTGTAGACTTTGTCTCAGGTAAAACTCCTGTTTGGGGCAGTAGAATTTGTACTGGGGTAAAATAATTTAACAAGAGTTTCTTGATGCACGCTTGTGGTAAATTTACTATTATGTTTCAGTAACATCTCTTGATGATTTTTCTCCTTCTGTACATTGAGGAGTTTGGTAATTTAAAAATATAATTAAAGAAACAATCTGAACTGAGCTCCCAAGGATATTGCAAGGACTGTCAGCAGGTCACTGGACCTAAAGTTGAAAAAAAAAAGAAAACCCAAACCACCTTCCTTCATCCAAGCCAGGGTTTGTACTGGAGCCTCCATCCATTCCAATCAATGCTGACTGATTCCTTAAGAGTAGTGCAAATGTTTATAAAGAAACAACTACCAGCAAAGTAAAAATTCTGCCTCACTAGGACCTTAATCTTATCACAGGCTTTGGTAGGAACACAGCAAGCCTCTCCTGTGTATATAATATCCTGCTTTAAAATTAGAATGCAATCCAACCTAAAGCTAATGGGATTTTGTATATAAAGTATTCTCAGCTGAACTTACAAGAAGTGCATTTCTTACTCTGAATAAAGAGATGACTATTTTCATTGCTACCTACAACCATAATATAGCTTTACAGAGAGAAATTCAACACATGTAAAAGAAGGGTTATGTTAACGCCAGTATCGTAATACAAACTAGTGTTTGCTGTCACCTGCAATTATAGCATATATCAAAGTGATGTGAGAATTTTAAATTAATATTTCCCTAATACTAATGTCCTACCCTTTCTACTTGCAATTCCCTTTCATCTTTCCAATGTAGATAGCCTTATATCCTGAAAGCTGTTTTCAAAGTGATTATCACCCATAAGGGTACTCAGTTTTGCACTGTGTTAAAAAAAAATCTAAAAAAAAAATAATTCTTTTGCATTCAAATGTGCCTAAAGAAACAAACAAAAAAAATTTTAAAAAAAGTGTATACTGCCATCTTGCAAATTAGTATTCTCTGTACTCCTGTGTGCCTATAATGAGAAGTCTGTTTCTTCAGAAAGTGCCCATTGGAAAATGAAGGGATAGACTGCTGGTCATGAGACTTGCATTAATAAGCCACTTTATGTATCTCCTTATTGTATATACTATGAAACTAATGCTTTTTGTGCACTATGTAGTCTCTCAATGGAAAGTTCTTTCTTTGGTATAGGCTCAGCTGCCATAATGTGTTTGTTGAAGTATTCTGTTCTTTCACTGATGCATATAAAATTGTTGACGTCTTTGTTTTGGTGAGTTTTTTTTTTTCTTTCTTTTGCCCCTAAAAAAAGTTCTAAAAAAGTCTAGATGAAAAGTCCAGTAGGACACGTGGTTGGTGCAAGATTTTTATCAATGTATTTGATGTTGAAAATAAAGAAATAACCAGAGCACTTTGTTTCATTAGTTATCTTTTGCATAGTTTTAAAAACACTCTTCTCTGCTTACTGTCTTCCAGTAGCCAGTGAAATGGTACACTGTATTTTACAGAAACAGAATGTGTCTGTTTCTGTGCACCTAAGTAAGA